AATAAACTGAAAACGGCCAGACCGTACGATCATCACAGAAAGCGTATGCAAGCCATGAAGTGCAAATTTTGCAACAAAACTCACGTGATGAAAAATGAGCAATGTCCAGCCTAGGACAAAGTATGCTCAATCTGTGGGCAGAGTAACCACTTTGCAACAAAATGTCCGAAGTCGTCACGTAAGGTGCGTCACAATGTTCACAAGGTCCGGCTAGACAGCTCCTCAGACGAAAAGGCTGAGGGTTTTGTGTACTTTGTTTCTGTGCTAAACACTAAGAGCAAAAGAGAAGTTAAGTGTCACCTACTCATTGGAGGAGTGCGTGCCAGTGTCATCTTCTAAATTGACACGGGCGCTGTGGTGAACATCCTGCCAGAACAATATGCAGACTCGGTTGTTTCCACTCTGAAAACCTTAAAGATGTGGAACGGTACAGATGTACGCCCTCTAGGAACCTCCTACACTACTGTGCACAACCCTGCTAATCACAAGAGGTACTCTGTTGAATTCGTGGTAGTAAACGAGGAACTACTGCCTCTTATGAGTTACAGAGCTGCGGAACAGATGCAGCTGCTGTCTCTAAATGAGAACAGCATGTAACTTGTCATGGATGTTTCACTGAGAGAAAAGTACGCTGATGTGTTTGCACAGACAATGGAAGCCTTACCTGGCACACAGCCCCTACAGGTCTACTTGACTTTTACTCCAGTAGTGATGACAAATCGCCACATCCCCATTTCTGTGTGCCCTGCCGTAAAATCTTAACTTGACAATCTGTGTAAGCTCGGAAGTGATTAAGCAGGTGAATGAGCCGACCCCTTGGGTCAGTCAGATGGTGTTGACGAAGAAGAAGACCTGAGATATCAGGGTCTGCTTAGATCCGATGGAGCTCAACAAAGCTCTTCTGTGAGAGCACTTCACACTAACCGAGTTAGAAGACACCAGATGAGCTAATCGCAGTACTTTGCAAGAGCTTATCTAAGTTCTGGCAACTGTCATGTCCACCTGGATGAAGAATCCAGCTTACTAACGACGTTCCAGACATGCTTTGGTCAGTGTAAGTGGCTACGCCTGCCTTTTAAAATTTCTGCTGCTGCTGAAATATTCCAAAGGAAAGTCATTGAGGCCGTAGACAACCTTCCAGGTCCTGTGTGTATAGCTGATGACATATTGATACATGGGACGACTATTGAGGAACACGATTGCAACTTGGATGCCTTCCTGAAACGCTGCATAAAAAAGTGGATCAATCTCACCCCTAGGAAAATATCACTGCATCTCCGTGAAATTACATTCATGGGACACTGCATAATTTCTCATGGCCTGCAGAGCGACCCACAGAAGGTGCGCGTCATGACCGCTATGCCCCAACCAACTAACCTGGAGGAGCTTAACACGTTCAACGCTGCCGGTGTTAACAATGCACCTACCGCTCTGCGCTGGGATTTCTGCGTTGTTACCGTGTATTCACTTATTGATTTACCACATTTCCTTTGCAGGAAAGCTAACCAAACTGACACATTTACTCTTCATGAATGTTATCTCACCCGTACATGTTCAAATAGTATGGAAATCGTTCCTCTTCATAATAATATATTGATATGAAAACAGGGCAAAAACTGACATTTCGTGCATTTTCGTCTGAAATGCCACCGCACCGGTGGATTTTCGAGTTTGTTACAATATCATTCGACAGTATACTATTTTTTCCGGTAAGAAATATGACAACGCTTACACATGTGTGGGGTATGAACCTTGTTTTGTGTTTCTACATGCAAAAATACCTCGAAATTTTACATACTACACAGTTATTATATTATATACCGTTAGGAAAACGGTAAACAAACCTTGTTGAACGGACTTTAGCCCAGAATTTACATTGAGTCTCAAAGCTCCTAATTTCACGTTCGAATCAACGGTAAAGCATCGTATTCGTTAGTTCATGTAAGACTAGGATAATATAGACTGTCCCTGTTTAATTTCTATGTAGGTAGTGCCTGCCATCTGTTGGAAATCAGAGTAACAAAAACCAATAATCTATCCACGAGCTGACTCGTGGATTTGCAGGGGTGTGTTTTGATTGTTCCCACGCGCGGGGAACGTTAATCAATATCTTGGACTGGATAATTACCTGGGGAAGTTTCTACCCCATATTACAAATGTCCTACAACCCATTCCGAATCTACTAAAGAATAATGTCTCTTAATAAGAATAAAAGTGGGGAATGATGCTAGTGACTATGGTTTAGGCTTGGCAATCTATCAATAAGGCTATCCTATTGCGTTTGCCAGTCGATCCCTAACCCCCGCTGAGCTCAACTATGCGCAAATAGAGAAGGAAATGGCTGCAATGTCCGTTGGCCTTAAGAAATTTCATCATTACACATATGTTAGAATAGTGACTGGCGTGACTGATTACAAGCTGATAGAGGCCATAGTCCTCAAACCCCTTTTAGCGGTCCCAAAATCTCTCCAAGCACTACTACTGTGCACGCACAAATATGACTATAGAGTCATGTATAGACCAGGAAAGTCAATTCCCGTTGCTGACACGTTGTCTCGCTGGCGTTTACCTAGTTAAAGTGGACAGGAGACAAGGATACAAGACTACTGGAGATAAGATCAGCAACTGACAGAGATAGCACCATGGCTCTACTCAAGACCCTCCTCATGAGTGGGTGGCTCCAACACAAGGCCTCACTCCCACAAGCTCTGACGCCATACTACGATTATAGACATGAGCTCACTCTACAAGACCAGAGGACCTCACTCTTACTCTAGAGGATCCAGTGTCGTATTCCCCAGCTCAATGCGAAGTGAAATCAAGCAGAAGGCTTACGCTGGCCATCTCGTCATTACCGCGTGCATACGTCGAGCTAGGGACCTGGTGTACTGGCCTGGAATATCCAAGGAGATTCGTCATATTGTTGAAGCGTGTGACATCTGTGCGTCACTCCCAGACAAGCCATGCTGCAATTTCAACTATCACTGGCCGATGGCAGCTGTAGAAGGGTTGATTCTGATGGTTTCTGGCATAATGAATACCTCGAAAAGGCCGGTTGTATCATGTCTCTGACGTCATCAGTTATTCAATGGCCATACGCAGGCAATCAAAACACTGAGTGTTCACTTGCATCTTTATATAGAGAAATGAACATGTACATAGGTGGCACCTAGTGTTAGCCATCGACTAAGAATGAAAATGGGAAATCAGTAAAATTTTGCATAAATGCTCGGGTCTATCCGTAAGCATAATTGTTTGAATTATCAAACCTCACGGTTTTATTGAGAAAGCAATGGGTCATTTTATTCAGCAGCCGCTGATGCTTGTTGTCAGCCAAGCACTAGCCGGCATATGGTGCCATGTATTGACTCATCTGGCCATATTCCCATCACATTATATCTTGCCCATTTTGGAGCAACCCTCGGTTTAAGGATACACTCTAGCTTTTGCACGGATATTGCTCTAATGAAGAGTACACCTTTATTGACCAAGGAATCAAATCAATCACTCGTTTTATTTATATATGAGACTGTTAAACTAACTGTAACATTATCATTAACTTTGCGATGTTTCTGACAATGGCCTCATGGTCGTCAGACGCACTGGCGTTTGCAAGCCGAGCCTCCAGTGTGCTGTTGCATTTCAGTTCGGTCTGTGAAGAATTGATTTTACATGTCTTGCATCTACCATTCTCTCAGTCTATAGTTACACCATCGTTAGCATGATTTCTTCAGTTAATTCCTGCCACATTATTGTACTGTGGCCTACAATAAACAAACAACATTGCTTGTGGAGAACACGACGGGCCAACACCTTGCGTAAGAGCTGCTAATGCTGGTAGTCAGCCAATCACAAATGAACATGTGATGCTATGTATTAGAACATCTGGCCATATCCGTATCACTTACAAACTAGAAACTAGACAGGAGTCAGTGTAGCTGCCGCTATATGTTTTTCTGTGCTGGAATGACATGAATGGAATGAAAATGAAATGCTTGTGATGGGCTATTCTGGGCCACGTTTATTAACTGTCAAATGGTATATAAAGTTGTAAATTTCACAGAAATTGTGTGCTGCGAATACAACAATGTTTTCTTGATTAATGTAATACAATGTGTTGTAGTCCTTCTCTGCATGTAACTCTATGCATTAGTGTTCACCATTACGTGAAATTTGTGTATATTGATTTTATACGATAAACAAATAGGGCAAAGTGAGTCAGAAGTCGCATAATGTCCTCGGCCCTCACAGACTGACAGACCCTAAGTGCTCTCAATCATCAATTATTCATCCCAAACTAGGAAACATGCAGCTCTTTTGTCACTAACTATTCCATGTTCAATAGATCAGGTTCAGTATTATATATTTCATCGCTGTTGTCTTCATCCCGTGTAGTTTATCACTGCTCTCTGCTCTCACATTCTTTTAGATGCATATTTCCCCCTTTTCAAGCAGTTTACATTGATATAGCTGACTATTTTTATTAACAATTTCGAAATCTTGACCATCACTCGATGTCCATGCAAAACAAGCACACTATACATTGAACATAAGTATTAGATCACATAGTTGCAGCAACCTGACAGCACTAATGTGACGATAATGAATCACATGCCAGTAATCAGGTGACACCATTGCTACAACATTTGTTATTAGAGCGCGAAGGTTTTGAATATGTTAACCCATGTTGCGATATTATGGCCTGCTGATTCTCGACAGATGTTTTTAAATACTTGAATAATATAAATATATTTATGATATTTTTAAGTTTAGCTGTATTATTTTCACATTTAAAAGTACGTCAGTGAACCATTTAATTCTGTCATTACTATGAATAAATAGAATACAATGTTGATAGACCGTGCAATTTTTGTACATATAGTGTGAGCATGTGAGAGAAACGTAGGTGAATTGGTATTTAGTTTGAGGGGCACCGATTTCCAGCGTAGGGCAAACTTGAGTTTTGTGCGTGTATAATCATTGTTAACTTTTCTTTGCAGGAATGAACTAGAGCGTCAATTTCTGGAGCTTCTTCAGTTTAACATAAATGTGACATCAAGTGTTTATGCAAAATATTACTTTAACCTTCGATCTCTGGCAGACGCAAACGACCTCACATTCCCTACTGAACCTCTCAGCAAAGAAAGAGCTCTAAGATTAGAGGTAGCATATTTCAGTTCAATATATGAATTCCCTCAAACCCGAATGTAATATGAAACTGGACAATGTGTTAATGTCTAACTCTATCTGACCCATATAAGATTCTCCCTATAAACCAAATCTTCACAGAAATACAAACAAACTGGACGGTTTCCTCGGGTGATTGTCTTTCAGTGAGTTCTGTGCAAATTATCATATATTATAATTATCATTAATGTGAAATGTGTGTGGTGTATACTGTTATGAATTTTGCAGCTAACATTGTGTACTGTTATAGGAATTCCAGAATTTATTGTCATAGTGTATGAAATCCGAGGTCACTGAAATTTGTGGATCACATTAAGAGCTAATGATACCTAGTGTCTAACATAAAAATGGTAAAGGGTGTCACAACTTAAAGGAATCATTTCGTAATTAACTGCACAATCAAGAAACATTTTGCAAAATATATTCTCACCTAATAGCAAACATGTTACTGCATGGTTACTCCAGTATAAAAATCAGGAGTTTATGCTGATATATGGTATATAAAAATAGCAAATAATTCTTTTCTATAGCGCTAATTTGCTTGAATTCGGCAACCATTAGCAAAAACTGCATTTCCTTGAGTGACGTAGTGGTTCTAGACCGGTACATCATGTCTATTGCCTAATTCAAGTACTATGTCAAAGTGCAGGGACGGGCGCATTATAAACAAGTAGCATTGCTTTGAGAACACAATGAAATATGTAAATTTACTTAAACAGGACGAAGGAAAATCTTCTCAAACTCAATTTAAAATCTCATCTGTTAATTATTTAAACATTACAAATCTCGGGGATTTAATTTGTGGGTTCTCACCACAGAAATAATATACTGGTTAAACTAGAAAGCTGATTCGCCAATCACCCTGTATTGAACAAGTGATGCCAGAGTAAGTGACTACAGTGCCCTCACATTGATGGCAAGAACTGTAAACACAGCATTGGTGATAACATAGGAAATATATCAGTTATGATATTAAAATGACTTTTATGAAGACAGAAACAACGATACAAATAACTGCTAATAATAGTACGAAACACAAAGTAGTGTATATTACGAGTCTCTATGAATGTATACAAAAAGCTTATTTGAGCAGCACCGACCATAGAAATATATAGAGACGCTAGAATGCTGATAGCCCAATAAAATGAACCCCAGCGAGCGACGCTAGCGCCCCTACCAAACTGTGGAATTTTTTGGCGGGAGATTTGTGTTTACATTGACTAAACTCAGCGATCACCTGCTCCTTCAAATCGCTCCCAAACTTTTTTTTTTAAAGAACACAATTTATAATATAATAATACAATATTAACACATTAGGTACTTGGGCCCCCAGGGGAAAAATGTTTCCATTTGTAAACCTCATGATATAAATAAATTTTGTTTAATAATCTAGTCCGTCACATTAGTACACTACCACGGTTCGAGCAAACGATATCCTATCCGCACCAAGCGCGGGAGTAGCGACAGAAACATAACCATGTAAAAATTTATAGGATATTCAAATTGATATTAAAAATTAGAAACTATTGTTTCCTATGAGCCATTGCACACACGCGACGACAAAAATATTTAGAAACGTGTCTATTTTCCAGCGACAGTAGACTGGTACTCGCTCTCACCTCGATTACTCGATTGCTCGATTACTCGCCCCCATCGAGTAACTATGGCTGATAGGGTCTATGTCCCCCAGGGTACTGCCGGAACGTACCCTGGTAATTATCCGATATGCCGGACCGTACCTCGCTTACTCCCTACCGTGCCCTTACTGTCCCTGTTCAGCCCACTACGGATGCCGCAAAATTTGAAATATACATACAGACCTGTATGATATCTTTATAAAGTTGGATTGGAGTATGAAAATGTGAAACCAAGAAGATATTTCAACTTATATACACTGATGCGCGCAATCCTTTAGCAAATATCGCGATGATCGGGAGGGAATGCGTTTTCCTTTCGCAATGTTTACGATATTTTCGCGCATTTTCGCGCGAGATTTTTGAAAGATGCCTCCAAGTGTTGTGGTGGAACAGGAAAATTTGTATGATTATCTTAATGGGTTGGAAACGTATAGACTCGCTGACACTTGTAGAAAGGGTCGGGAGGTGAAACGTAACAGGGTAAGGGTTACGAATATTTTGCGGGAACGGACCGGAAACAAGGAACGGGAGCATAAAGAGGCGCGTTTACTGCCGACAAGCGGTATACATTACGACATCGGCTGAAAGTCAGGGTACGGTTTGGAGTAGGCGAGGTACAGTCCGGCATATTAGATAGTTACCAGTGTACGTTCCGGTATACCGGACTGTACCCAGGGTACGTTCCGGCAGTACCCTGGGGGACATAGACCCTATCAGAGTAACTAAGCCGAGAGGTGGGAGCGAGTACCAGTCTACAGCGACAGTTTCCAGCAACACTTTACAAATAGCCAATCGCAGCCGTTTCCATCGGCACGTGACATTACGATTACGTCATAAATAACCCATAATGCTAGCCAAGACGTAGACTGGTCTCCAGCGCTAAACTTGCGACCAGGGCCGTAGCTACCATTAGGCAATAGGAGGCAAATGCCTCCTACAAAATTTCCTCTAAGCGGGCCCCATACCCCACGCCCTATAGGCTCGCTTCGCTCCTTGTTCTTTAACTCACAACATTTGCCTCCTACAAAATTTACCTCTGGCTATGGCCCTGCTTGCGACGCATGTCACAAACAATGGGGCCGCGAACCATTCTAACCAAAGCGTGCAGCTGTGGCAAGCTACTAGTCCAGGCATTATTTGATATGACCTCGGACAAATTGCAACAGAAAGTGTTTCAACTGTTTTATGCTCTTGGAGGTGTCCACTATAACATATCAAAACTCTTAAGGAATCCTGGTGGTGAAAGGTTCCATGGCGGCCATTTTTCAAAATGGCCGCCATAAAACTGATATTTCCCTATATCTCCGCTTCTAAATAACATAGAGCTTTGATTTTAAGTGCTAAACATACATTTTCAGGGACAAGGAATCAAATGAAACACATTTCGATAAGCTAAACCTGGGCAAAAAGCCGAAATAGCCGTTATTTTCCAAAATGACAGCCATAAACCTGATATTTCTCAATATCTGCGCTTCTAAATGACTTAGGGCTTTGATTTTAAGTGCTAAACATACATTTTCTGGGGCCAGGAATCCAATGACACACATTTCAATCAGCTACATCAAACGCATTGGCTTGTTCACAGAAGTGCGCACTGGTTTTGGATTTATTGAGGGAACCTCCCTTGCCAATGCCATACACGCAGGAAGTAGTATCACATCCCAGAAGAGCGTGCATGAAGAAGATGTGCTGTGATACATCGGGGCCTAACTGCTGCTTGACAGACTTCATGTTCCAGAAACGCGGTTTCTTCACATTATTCTTTGGCTCGGGTTGGAAGAACAGGTCACATGACTTGAGGTTGGTGCCAGGAATTGTTTCTTCTTCATTGTGACCTGCATATCTTCATCAAACGTCACCGTTGCTCCAGCATTCCCTCTCGTACGTCTCTGGTGTGTTGTGTCTTTTGTTGATGTACCATCATAGCCATCAACCCGACTGTTGCCTGTCCATACTTCTTTGTGACATACTCTGTGTATTGCGAGCAGATACCTTTGTATATTGAGCCACGTTGTCATGGAATGCGCTGGACTAGTGCCCCAGCATCCAACACGTAGTGGACTTGGCCTGTGATTCCTGGTGCATCGTGTGTCAAGAGTGTTCAGATAGCATCTGCTAGCACTGGCTTCTGTGGCTGTCGGAGCAGCAGTATGGAATCAAACAGAGCTGGTGGGTAACTGCACAGCTCATATTTGAACACAGACTCCAGATCCTCTGTAGCTTTTGCAGCAATTGTCAGTCGTTGGAAAAGCAGCTTGGGATCCACCTGTACTGCCGCACCATCAATCTTTACTGCCGATTTCACAGCCAAGGTGATGGCCGGATCCTTCCTCTTGACTGTGTAGTCAGCAGCAGTTTGTCCATCCATGTTGATCAGGATAGCTGTTCCAACAGTTTTCGCTGAGTCCACATTGACTGTGGTGGTTGCATGCACCCCTGTCGAGATGCTGCGCAAGCTCGGATCTGAGCTGAAGGGTGTTCTCTCTTGCAGATAGCTGATAACTGCATGTGTGTCTTTCATGTCACGTGCTTGTCTAGCATTTGTCATGTCCTTGTTTTGTTCACCAGTGTTGTAGTTGACGCCTGTGAGCTGCTGCATAGCATTGTTGACTTCAGCACAGGCAAGCATGGAGAGCAGCCATATGAGACACTGTTGCTCTGTCATGCCTCGCCCTCTCGTCAGGCCACTGCTGGTCTTCATACTCCTCATCAGGACCTGTTCGATGGTGAGATCTACGGACAGACCAGCCCATAGGCGATCACTTCTTCTGACAACATGGAACCCTTCTTCGAATCGTTGGTACACATCTGGATGTTCATCCTTGAGCTTGCTTATTCGCTGCACATAGAGGCGAGCTGATTTGGTGTAGAGGTTGTGCCCTGAGGCTGCCAATGCGCTCTGCTCTGACAAACTTCCGTAGTATGTCCACCATCTCCATGTACTGTAGCCAAAGTGTGGCAGTCCTAGAGGACATCAAGGATTCGGTTTTGGCCCTGAGGAGCTCCTTAATCCTAGTTAACACATCAGCTTGGCAGAACTCCTCTGCAGACACGGAACCTTCCATCAGCTTCTTGTAGAGGGCAGCAAGTTCATCAAGATCAGTGTTTCCAGTTCCGTCTGTCGTATGCTCATCATCTGGTGACACTGTTGCCTCATTGGTCTCCTCCACTTCATGTGGCTCTGCAGATGGTTGAGGGAGTGGCACACCAAGTACGTCTGACAAAATCAAGGCATTCAGTGCTGCATCATCAAGGAGATGTCCTCGCACTGCTCGTGCAATAGCCTTGCCTGTCATCATGTGTACCACCGCGTTGTCTGCATAGATTAGCTCCAAGAATTCCTGCAGTCCTGATCCAGCCATGAGGTGCCCAATGCTTCCCAAGAAACTCATTTCTGTGTGAAAGGTCCCCATGCGCAAGACTATGTCATTCAAGACACTTCCTGTGGGCTCAGTCTCGATGATCATGAGTGCTTTCCACCATAGTGGTTAGTCAAAGGTGATGATGGACGTAACACCATGGCGACGAGCATGCTCACACACGAACTTCAGTGTGGAATAGATGCACGTTGTGTGACAGGCACCATGACATCTGGTTTTGGCTGCCATTTCGGCTTTTTGGTCAGGTTTAGCTTATTGAAATGTGTTTCATTGGATTCCTTGTCCCTGAAAATGTATGTTTAGCACTTAAAATCAAAGCTTTATGTTATTTAGAAGCGGAGATATAGGAAAATATCAGTTGTATGGCGGCCATTTTGAAAAATGGCCGCCATGGAACCTTCCACCACCAGGATTCCTTGAGAGTTTTTATATGTTATAGAGGACATATTTCTGAGTATAAAACCGTTGACAGACTTTCTGTTGCAATTTATCCGAGGTTGACCCCATTTTTTTCACGAAATGCATGGACTATACAGTCATTGTATTACACAGTACGTACAGTACATGATAATTTGCTGCGTATAATTTACTTATACTTATCTTATCCTTATACCTAGAGAGTTTTTGCAGCCTGTTATTTAAAAGCAGCAGCAGGAGTTTTTGCCGTTTGTTTATGTGATGATGTGTACCACTGTGGCGAGTGCTGGGTGAACTTTGACCCAACGTCGGTCGCTGTCGCTGCAGTGTGTTTGCGCCAGTCGCCTCGATTTTTGTTGTTTGTCGTTACGGTCGGTCGCTGTCGCTGCAGTGTGTCTTGGCTTTAAGACGGACGTTGCTATTAAGAATATCAATTAAACTGTAACAAAAAACAAGTAAGATTAAGACACTGCAACGACAACGATCAATCGTAACATCTAATGACAAAATTAGAAAATATTGTTTCCAATGAGCTGTACAGCCATAGAACGCTATGTGTGGTAAGATTTTGCAATGAAATTGCGACAGTTTCATTATGTAATCAACAATTGTAGATCCACCAAATTTAAAATAACAAACACATGGTATATAATTTGTTGAACATATGAATTTACCTTTTTAATTCAATAGACTTCCGGAATTTGTGATAGCCACGTTGACGTTTGGTGTGCACTAAATTATTGTATTTATACCTAACATGTTTTATATGTCGTTTTTTCAATATTTTTTTCCAAATTTCTGGAAATTTCATCAAACTATATTGGGTGTACCAGCAAGATGGTGTGAGTGTTACGCTGTGGCGGCGCCAGGTTTGCTATCTCCGATTGCTCTTGTTATTATTGTTATCAGTATTATTACGTATATATGTATATATAGTATGTATTTCCTTATAAGTATATATATAGTTGTAGACAATTAGAATGCGGGGTGTTTCTTAATTTATTGTCACCTAATATATATATATATATATATGTATACACAAATACAGATGTGTGTGCGAGTGCAGCTGTGACATCCATAGCGATATAATGTAAACATACCATAATGGTAACGTCTATGTCTGTGGCGTTATATTGTTTTTTTCTGTGAGTTTGTGCACAGCGGCGGGCATTCGATGAGATGTGTGTTGCAGAGGGACATTTTAACGTCATTTACGTGGAATTATTAGTTGATAGAGAATCCATAAACATTAAGTATGTGGTAATACAATAAAACTACAATTTATATTTATTTACAATAATTTTATTATTGAAATATTCCAAGATACAGCGGTTTGGTCGATTGCATCTCACGCCAGTGTGGTTGACTAATCAAATTATAAATAACCATATCTATTTATTCATGAGGTTCGGAAACGACAAATCTTTCCCCTGGGCGCCTGGTATATAACGCGGCAATATTACATGATTACATTATAACTAAGTGATGTTCTATTTAAAGTATGAGAATGATTTGAAGGTGAAGTTGGTCGCCGTGTTTAGTCAATGTAAACGCAAATCTCCCGCAGTATTTTGCCATCACTCAGTAGAGGTGCTAGTGTCGCTCGCTGTGGTGAATTTTACTTGTCGATCAGTGTTCTGGTGCCTCTATATTTTTCTATGGTTCTTATCTGTAGATCAAGCCGTCAACCATGCCCAGTGGCAGTTTGAATGATGTGCATTTATACTTGTCTAAACATTTATTATACACCCACAAAATTGCGTAGGAACGCCTATATTCATATTTTTTTACCTGGAAGATTAACTTCCCAGCTAATATTTGTACGCAGTGTCTTTTGCTCTCTTCTCATTTTTTTCGCAACAGTCGCCAAGCAGCCACCCTATGCAATTCAACAACCAATTAACCCAGACGTTATCCAAACGCGAATTTAAGATTTTTTAGGTTTTGGCTTGATCACTACATCAATTCTGCTCGTTTTATTTCCATTTCATTAACTAGCATATACTTCATTTTTCAATTAAAGGCATAATAGGCCCATTGATTATGCAAAGTTGACGAATGCTACAGTAACTGGCACCTTCTGTAGTTAATAAGTACATTACCTTATAGCCAAACGCGTATTAGTTTGTCCAATATCACTGCTAATTACTAAGAAATGTCTAATTGAAATCCGTAAATCTGGTAATCTGGCGCCAACGCTAAATTGGTTGCCAAGCAAAATAGCCTCGAATTCGGCTAGGTGACGTCACATGTTGCTACGGGTGTTTAGCAGATAATTGTTTGTCCCGGGATGCTTATATACGACTAATGAGCTAGTAGACTGTATCTCTGGGTGTATTCTCGGTATTGAGGCACAAGTAAATAACCGTGGGTGCTAATGAACGGGTACCCACATGTCTTCAATTTCGGACACAGGTGTATTCGTTTGACCAATATACGTAAATACGCCTAGTGCCATGTTTAGTCTGTGGCCGTGGTTAGTCCGCGATCCTCCCATAGTGTTGGCCCCCAACACAGCCTACTTCATTATCACGAGTGTCCGTGATTCGTACGTGGATTCCACGTTCATTACAATCACTGCTACTGTTACGTATACAGTTACGGTACTGTACTATCGCTAGCATTGCGTACGGCCGAGCGAAAATGCATGCGTGCGAAAATGTCCGGTGCACGCGCTATAAATCTGTATCACACCCGTTTCGCAGTATGCGGTTTCAAAACTGTAAACAAGTCAGTCAACTGATTTCTTGGACTGCGGATTTCAATTAGACATTTCTTAGTAACCAGCAGTGATATTGGACAAACTAATGCGCGTTTGGCTAAAAAGGTAATGTACTTATTAACTACACAAGGTGCCAGTTACTCTAGCATTCGTTAAAATTGTTTTACTTTTATTTGTTAAAAAATGTTCATTGATGTTAAAGGGAGAGTTTACTCTAGGTTCTAGGGTTATTTTCAGCTAATTTAGGTTATAATTACGCTACATAAAAAGTTCATGGTTCAATCACCATTAGAAATATTATTAAAAAATGTTTTAAAACTAACGACTATAGTTTGATTACAACGACGGTGGCGCCACTCAAAGCGCACGATCTGATAATTTGCGCAAAACCACTTTCCAGCCAAGGGCTACAGACCGAGAGTGTTTCTTATTCATTCATTTAAAGGCAAAAGGATTGTAATATCTTATAAACGACATATAGTTTCAGTTATAATATGGATAAATTTGCCCTAAAATGAATATTGTTCCGTTAAATAGAATTTAGGTATAAATATAATTGCACTTTTGTGATTAGCCCTCGGTCTGTAACCTGCAAAATAAATTGTCAAATAAGCAACTTTTTCGGGGTGGCAGCACGGTCGCGGTTGTCATGGCGCCGTTCAAATTTCGTAGCGTTGATTTGTAAATAATTATAACAATTAAATTAGGTATCTGGTAACAAAGACTTGTGGGTATAGACGATTTGTTATACAGTAAGTACAGTTGTATGCAGTAAAATCCTAGAGGCTAGTGTCCCTTTAAGAACGATTTAAAGGCATGTTTTTTGCGTCGCTTTACGGGGAGAAGAGCGGTAACTTTGGAAGTATACTTAAACTAGTTATCTACGAAGAATAAATAATTCTCTTACTTTCCCACTTTATATTTTAATTGCTTATGCTAGTTACTGTGAAATCCTCATTTTTGGAACATGTCGGTTGTTTCAGCTTTTCCTCTGATATATGGTCTTGTTTTTATCATTATTTCACAAATAAGTTTACTTATATTCGTTTGACTATTTTTTCAGGCTATGTCACAGGTTACAGAAATGAAGATGGCTGACCTTGCTAAAGGAAGTATACGAAAGACGGCAAGTTTAGACAATATGTGTTGTCGGCATTGCCAAGCAGTCCTGTCCTAACAGCATTGATACACAATGATGCAATAAAGTGTGATGACCATTTGTACAATTGCATAGACATGAACAGTCTAATACTGTTGATGTCTGGCTGTCCTGTGTACCTTAAAACGAACAGTGTTTTATATATTGGCATGACGATCCCTGTTTGTTTACATGGCTACTAATGTCAGGAAAAATTAATAAAAAATAGTCGTTTTGGGACATGTCACGTATGCTTGAATCATGCACGAACTTTGTATAAAAGTTATTAACTAGTCGTTCGGTATTAACGGTACTTGCAATCAATATAACTCTCTTTATTCATAGTGGGAATTTGTTTAATAGGGCAGCATTTTCATGTAGAAGCTAATCAGACGATCTTAATGTGATTTATGGAAAAAAATACCATTGAGATTCGGTTGATTTCTTGTCAAAAATGTGTAGTTCAGTATATTATGATACTTATGACGTAACTGTTCATATGTTTCTGCATAGCTGTGTTATTATACATTATTATTGTTATTATTATTACTAATAATATTGTTATTATTATTATTATTATTATTATTATTATTATTATCGTCATTCTTATTGCCAATTTATATTTTCCATGACAACGTTTGGCTTCCTCTGCCCCTTCTCAAGTTGGGTTAAGTTTATGTATGCCTAGTTCAGTCCAAGCTCGAAGCCTTTCAAAAAATGTAATTACATTTACCATTAAGCCAGCTCTCCATTCCAAAAAAGCACCATGGAACGGTTTTAGGCATGGTGAACGTGTTATGTCGCCACGCGGATTTTATCTTGCAAACATTCCATCGTAATCTCACTCTCCATTTGTTCTATGTACATCTCTTGATGTGATTATTCAATATAATCATCAGGATGTCCAATACTGAATACCTTTCTAGGTTGTGATATAGAATAGTAATAACATGTCTGCGTAGGAAAATGCATCATACCATTTATAGATAGCAGCTTTAAGTATTTAACTGTAAAACCTCATTATAGTTATTATACATGTTAGAACTAAACTAAGCGTGAAATGGAAAGTAATAGATAACAAATGATAACTAGCGTAGTGCATCCTTCCTCTGAGCATTACATATAGTGGTGCTACTTTCATGGTAAGCAAATGATTATGAACAGTTTAATTTAATACAAACATGTATAAATAAATAAATATATATGTATATACATATATATCTACACACATA